AGGGGTCTACAACTAGGGTATACGTGTTCAAACACCCGAGCTCCACACATGGCTGAGTCCATGGTTTCTGCACTATCTACCCGTGTGATCTCATCTTTTCTGTGACCATAAGTCCTTCCTAAATGCTGCTAGAGATTAAATTTATATGCTTGGCTCAGTTTTCTCCTCTGAGCTTGAACTTGCAGATTCAACTCCCTTGTTTACATTTCTTTTTGGAAATCCCAAAGAAATTTAAAACTCAAATATTTGCTTTTTAAACAATTATTTACCCCCTCCACCATATGTGTATAATATTTGTGTGTGAGTGTAGGCACACACATGCTCTATAATACACGGGCGGAGGCTGAGGACAATTTGCAGGGGTCAGTCCTTCTTTTCCACCATGTGCATTCTGAACATAAACTCAGTCATCAGATTTGACAACAATTGTCCTTACACACTGAACCCTGTTTCTGGTAAAAAAAAAAATCATGTTTTTTTAAACAACTTTTGATCCTGCCCTTCTCCTTAAACAGTCTTTCCTCCAGATTTCCTAGATCAGTAATGAGTACTGCCCAACTACTGAAGGCTAAAACCTGAGCAGCTTTGTTTTCCTGGTACATCCAGCACTTCAGCACCTACTCTCACTTAACCCTCCAGTGGATCCTCTTGGCTCTGGTAAGCCGTTGCATATCTGAACCTGTGAACCTGCTTCTGCCCTTGAGCTCTGCAACTTGGGTGATTGTCAGCACACACATCAGCCACAAAGATTTCCCTTGCGCTTAGGACTAAATCCGTGTTCCCATCGGCCTACGGCTGCACATGGTGTGCCCTCCCTCTGCTCTTCCGCTCTCCTCCACTTCTCATTTGTCTTCTTCCTGTTTTGGTGATGCTGACCTCTTAGAAGCTTGAACTTCACACCTTTGAGACTTCATGTGCATTTTTCCTCTGCTGAGACACTGTCCCACAAAGTCTTAGTTACTATTCTGTATCTATTAAGTCTATGTGTATTAATTTCTTAAGCCATATAGGGGAAACACATAGCAGATGATGGCAAATGTTGTGGAAGAAATGCCTGGATTCTGGGATGCAGGGTATTGGGTTCAGGTAGTAAAAGAAATCCTCTTTTGCCCAACCACCCAGGCCCTAAGTGGTGTTTCTCTGTTACTCCCAACCCATTATAAGCTTGCATTGCTTGCAGTACCCAGTCTGCAATAGTTTGTCATTGTCTAGTCTGTCCCACTGCCTGGCCTCAGACCATCCTTTCATAACAGTTACCACATTCTGGTAATACATTTAGTCACTCCTGTGTCCTTCCACTGGACTCTGGTGAGGGATACAGTCATTCTTAACTCATTTGTTGTTGTGTATGAAGGAATGAGTAAATAAATGGTTCAGAATGGACAGTTGTGAACTTAGGAAGTAATACAATGCATACCAACTTTTGTGTTACTAAATAATCCTTTCAGTATTGTGTGCTGCAGTATTCTGCCACTTGGGGGCAGTTATACATCTGTGATTAAATTTATCTAGCTTATCAGTTCAAACTTTTTTCTTCTGTAATTTTCACATGCCTGCTTTATGAATATTCAAGATAAGAGGTTCCTGTAACGTTTATAGAAGTCTGTATTTCTGCTTGCCGTTATGCTTACCGTTGCTTTTCTGATACTTCGTTCCATCATCCATTGGACAATATGATTATACGTAATTTCACATTTTCAATATGTAACTTCCCACACAGCTGTATTCTAGGTTTCATTTAGTAAAGGGGTTATGTGGTGAGGGTGACCCACCTTATCTTGTCAACATCATAAGTGAATGAAATGAGCCTAATACAAGATTTGCATGTAGGTAACTTCTGTCAGCAGGACTCAGATTTCATAAATGGAAAGAGGAAATTTATATATCTATACAGTATACTTTTATTATCTCTTCATCCCTATGTATCTCCAGCTTCCTTTGGTGTCCCCTACCCTGTCTTCCTCTAAACTTCCTGTCCTTCTTCTGGCTATTAATACCCCCTGAGACCAATTAGTGCAGCTAATATATGATGGGTGTAGGGCCACTTATTAGGATATTGAACAATTTACCAGGGTCATGTTCTCAAAAGAGTGTGAATCGATCTTCCTCAGCACCCATCAACTGCCAGTAGCTCCTATGCCAAGGGTCGGGCCTTAGAGCCCCTCCTACATCCATGCTGGGTTTTTGACTGGAGTAATCTTGTGCAGGTAATCACGGATGCTATGAGTTGATGTGTGCAGAAGCTGTGTCAGGTACAGATGTCAGCATTTTCACAGCTTTCTTCCTCCTCAACCAATGCTTAAAATTCTTTCTGCCTCTCTTCCATAATGCTCACTGAGCCTTAGAGTTGCTTATGTTGGCACTTTGACCAGTTATGAGTCCTCTGCATTAATCACTCACTGCCTGCTGGAAAAACAAGCTGTGATGGGTGGTGGCAGTGCATGCATTTAATTCCAGTACTTGGGAGGCAGAGGCAAGCAGATCTCTCTGAGTTTGAGCCCAGCCTGGTCTATAAAATGAGTTCCAGGATGGCCAGGAGTACACAGAGAAACACTGTAGTAAGGGGCGACAGGCTGCGTTCCTGCTGCCTGGCTCCTGGCTGCCTGGCTAGCTTATGCCCCAAAATAACAACAACACACAAATTGTATTCTTTTAAACACTGCCTGGCTCATTAGTTTCAGCCTCTTACTGGCTAACTCTCACATTTTGCTTAACCCATTTCTAATAATCTGTGTAGCACCATGATGTGGTGGCTTACCGGGAAAGATTCAGCTTGTCTGACCTGGCAGCTGGCTCCATGGCATCTGGCCCAGAGAGGAGAGGCATGGCAGTTGCCTCACTTCCTCCCAGCATTCTGTTCTTTTTACTCCGCCTACCTAATTTTCTCTCCTATCAAAGGGCCCAGGCAGTTTCTTTATTAACCAATGAAATCCACTCAAAACAGAAGACCCTCCCACACCATGTCTCAGAAACAAAACAAACAAAAATAAAAATAAAAAACAAGTTTCTCCCACTAGGGTTGAGAACATAAGCAACACAAATCAATGGTTCTAATCATCAATGTTTAGAAGGCAGTTGGACAGCTTAACCAACAAGCAAAACAACAATAGTAAATTCCTGCCAGGTTTACAGTAACAGGTTTGGAATCCCTTCTGTGAAGCCAGATTAAAGTCCAGTCAGAAAGCCAGGTGGTGGCGCACGCCTTTAATCCCAGCACTCAGGAGGCAGAGTCAGGCAAATCTCTGTGAGTTTGGGGCCAGCCTGGTGTACAAGAGCAAGTTCCAGGACAGGCTCCAAAGCTACAGAGAAACCTTGTCTCAAAAAAAAAAAAAAAAAGTCAGAAAGTTGTTGATTACTGCTTTACTGCTTGACATGACAGTCTTGCCGCTATTGCACCAATGTCCACATATTGCCAATCTGATTCGTATTGCAACATGCAGGGTATAGTGCTGGATGAGACCATTGATATAGTTCTTCACCCCTACCCCCAGCAGCCTAAGATTTCTCACCATTTCCAAATAGTTATTATCTAGGTCTGTTGCCAATACATATATTATTTATATTCATGATTCTTGCAACTCCCAGGCGAGGTTGGTATAGTTGCTATTAAAATAACAGAAGCACAGAGAGTAAAGACGCCTACCATGACACAGTAAACAGAAGAGGTGGTTAAAGATGGGGAATCTGGTTCCAGAGCTCATATACTCGACTCTTGTGCCTCAGTACCAAGGCTATCAGTGCTTCTAAATGACTTCAGTAAAAACTAAGGTTTTCTCTCTCTCTCTCTCTCTCTCTCTCTCTCTCTCTCTCTCTCTCTCTCTCTCTCTCTCTCATGTGTTATGTGTGTTCTGGTGCATGGTATGAAGGTTTTTTCCCTCACCTTTCTTCTTGATTGAGGCAAGTCTCTCTTTTTTTTTTTTTTATTTCTGCTGTTGTGTTTTATACTCTAGGCTATCTGGCTCATGAACTTCTGGGAGATCTTGTGTACCAATGTTTATATATGTACCAAGTAGTTGCTTTAAAATAAGTTGTTTATGATTTGTTATCTTTGTGTGTTTGATTTATGTACCTGTTTTATTTGCCTATATACCTGTGGTCACTTAAAGATTTCTCACTTGAAAATGGGTCATGAGTGGGAAAAAGTTGAGGAAGCCATGGCTTATATAGTTGCGTTTCTTTGTAAGGTAATTTCCAAATGAAGTCTGTCTTGATTTGTTTGGATGGCGTGATTTTGTTAGTTTCCTTTGTGTGGTGCCTGGCACATGACAGGAGCTGAGTGAATAACTGCTAAGTTAATGGTTTAAAAGTGGAATAAGGAGCCAGCGAGATGGCTCAGCAAGTAAAGGCACTTGACATCACATCTGGTGACCAGAGTGTGGTCCTGAGACCCACCCACATGGTGCACATGCTCACATACATACACAGCACACAAATATAGAATAAATATAATTTTAAAATGAAACGAAAGGAATGATCACATTATTTAAATCTGTGGTGTATCTTAAAATGTCTTGTTAGGCCTAATTACTTAGGAAGTAATTGAGAGGGCCTAATTGAGAGGGAAGAATATTTAACTTTATTTAGGTGTAGTGTAGTTACTTCCGCTTGGATAACACAAGTCATTATCTGTTATTTTGATGTTCTCCAGGTAAGGTGAATTATGTGCGTATGATTATATACATTGTTGCTATATATATTTAAGAATACATCTTTATGTGTATGTGTGCCTCAATTATGAACTTGGATACATTTTAATATTAGACTTGTATGCCCTTCATGGTCCCTTCACATTGCCTGTTTATGACGTACCTTTGTGAAGTGCTGTGTGAGTGATTTCAGACAATGTGGGGCTGGAGGACCTCTTTCTGAGTCGTGATTATTCAGTACTGAAACCCTTTCAGTTAGTGTTGTAGCTGATTCTAAAACACAGAAGTGTTTCAGAGCAGCCAGGTGTGCACTGTTGCAGTGCACAGCATGGTCAGCCTCTGCTGCTCTTACAGGTGCTTGCGAGGGAACTTTGGCTTGCTCCACCTGCCACCTTATCTTCGAGGATCATATATATGAGAAGTTAGATGCCATCACCGATGAGGAGAATGACATGCTTGACCTGGCTTACGGACTCACAGACAGGTGAGTAGATTTTGTTGGTTAGTTTTGTTTTAGGATCGGTGTCTTAACTTTTGGTCAGGGTGGCCTCACACTCGTGTGTGCTGAGATCACAGGCATAAGACACACTGTGTGTCTGACCTGTAAGGTAAGTGACACCCTGGGGAAGTCTGCATTATCTTCCTTCAGGTCTAAGATCACTCCACGAGTAGGAGTAGATAGAGAACAGTCACGAACTTTGAGCATCCTCTGGGAGCATTTCTCTTTCACTGTCCACACTTGCCCCCCATGAAGCTTCCCCTTTACAAAATCAAAGAGTTAATTGGTAGTAATAGTTTCTAATCCTATTACATCTTTAGTCTATTTTTGCCAGGAATTAATATTTATCATAATTTCATAGGATTGAAATAAATGGAATGCTTTTTATAGTATTCTTGAAGAACAGATTTGATAATTGAACAAAATTATAGTGGAAATTTTACCTGTCTGAGAGAACTGAGTTTTCAAAGAAACTTAATATATAATAGTAATTATGTTAAGGTGAGTAGTTCTTTCTCTAGGTGTATATTAAAGTAAATTAATCAGAGCTTATTAATTAGTAGGTAGTTTCTCTTAAACACAGTGAGCTTCGCAAAAGCAGATGGCATCAGTGATACTATTTTTTAATTATCCCATCTTAGAGTCAAGGAAAGCTTGTCCTTGATTGACTGTTTCAAGGCATAATTAAGGAGGCTTATTTCTTATTGAGAGTGGGTTTTGTTTAACTGTATTTTGCTACCTTAATGAAGAATAACTTCTTAAAAACTGTATTAGCTTACAAGATCTAGGTTTCATGTGGTAAGAATAAATTTTAAGCAGTTATAGTGATAATAGTTTTATTAATTTCAGTTTGTTTCTTTTATAGTTCATCTCTCCCTATTTTCTCACACACCCTTCAAAGTCTTCTCTAGACACCTTGTGTCCTGTCCAGGGGTTCATTGTTCTGTTTGTGTGGTACTTGTGACAGTCTCACATGCTCGCTATCATAGTTACTCATCTCAACTGTCTGATCGACAACAGCAGTCCTGCAAGCGAGCCTTCTCTCCTCCATCTTGATGATCAGGTTAGGAAAGAACAGAAAGTTGCCTGTGAACAGCTGTGTTAGTGCTGGCTTTCCACTGGCTGGTTTTCTCTAAATCCTGTGCTTTCCTCTGAATGCCTCTCCTGTGCCCAAGGTATAATAGGTGAGAGCACTGAGTTGAGTACTCTGTGTATACCCATTAATGTACTGTACCCATTGGCATTTAGTAAAACAATCATTGACATTTAGTAATATACCGGTTGACATTTAGTACTGTACCATTGACATTTAGTGGTAGAAATTTTACCATTACACATCCAGTAAATGTTTGAAGCCATTAATGCAGCTAATGCCGTCAGAACATGCGATGTCAAAGAGAGTTTGATTATAAGATTAGCCTTTTTTTTCAGTATTGGGAACTGAACCCAGGGCTTTTTGCATGATAGGAAAGTACTTTACACTGAGCTGTATCCCAGCCCTTTATTTACTTTTTTTATTTTGAGACTGAATTTAAATCCAAGCTGGAATTCTTACTCTTTTGCCCAGGCTGGCCTTCAGCTTGCATTCCTCTTGTCTTAACCTCCTTCGTGGCTGAGGTGACAGGCACATGCCACCAGTCCTAGCCTAACATGTAACTTTTGTGTACTTCTAAGAGAAAAGGAAAGTGCTGCTTATTAAAATCTGCACTGTAGTGTCTCTTCATTTAACATACTGCATGCACTTAGAAAGCTTGTTCAAACAGCCGTACACATGAGCCACACTTGTTGAAAACAGAGCGTCTGAGGAAAGCATGATTGGTAGCAGTTTTGTGAAGAAAGAGGGGAAGAGGAAATGATGGCCAGTCTTCTCATCATGGCTACACATTTGCATCTGCCGGCTTCCTCTGGTGTCGGTGATTTTGGTTTTATAATCCTTTTGGATTTATTTTGAAAGGGCTAAAACTTTAACACCTTTGGAGTCAACAGCATCCTTCTCTTACTTGGTTGGAGACACTGGTGTGTATAATGTTACCGAGTCTACAGCTGTGACACAGCAACCACTTCATATTGTAGCAGTGGCTGTAAGATGCCATTGGCCTGAAGATGGACTTTGATTTCAGAGATGTTAAAAATATGGGGGAAATACATTCTTACAATTGATGGTTTGAATCTATAGATTTCATTTTTGTCTTAAAGAATTTTGTTGTTATTGTCTGGCAGGATCTCTTATGAGGATGGTCGTGAACTTCTAACCTGGCTCTGTCTTTTAAGTGCTGGGTTTATAGGTGCTTACCACCATGGTTGTTTGGTGCTGACCTTTTGCTACCTCTAGTTGGGTTGGAGAGGGTGTCTGCTTTGGCCTAATGAAAACGTGAAAGATTAGCAAATTCTCCAACTGCTTTTTGCAAGGAAGTATAAAAATATCCTAAACAACTACAGGCTTCTGAATGACATGCATCTAATACTAAACTGAGCCTCCTTCCTTTCCTTGCAGGTCACGGTTGGGCTGCCAAGTCTGTCTGACCAAGGCTATGGACAATATGACCGTTTGTGTGCCTGAGGCGGTGGCGGATGTCAGACAATCTATTGACATGAGCAAGAATTCCTAAGATACATTAAAAAGAAATATTTTCATGAAATTTTTACCTATTTTTATAATTATTTCCCAGTATAATTAAATGATTACACAACAGAATATATTTCTCTGTGTGAGTAGCTGTGTTGTCTTAATTCAGTTTGTAGTACTGAAAGTCTGCAGTTTTCATTTGATTAGATTATTAAAATGTCAGTTTAATTTTAGAAGCTAGCTGATATAATAAACTCCTTACACATTTTACCATGAGTGTGTTCAAGTGATTTTAGTAAAACATTGCTGTGTAATCTTATGTCTGCTTTTTTAAGAAGTAAGTTTAAAAAGAGTGTCGTTGGGGATAGATAGTTAGATCAGCAGTTCAGAGCACTGGCTCTTCTTCCAGAGGACCCACTTCAAATCCTAGCACCCAATGGCTGCTCATAAGGGTTTGGAACTCCACTTTTAGCCTCTACAGACACTGCATGCATTTGATGTATAGGTATATGATCAGGTAAAACGTTCACACTCATGAAATAAAAATTTCAAGAAACAATATTTTAAAAAACTTGTCACTATTCTTGTTTCATGTAGGCAGGAGATCTCCATATAAGGTGGTTTGACCAGGGTGTAACCAGAGAATCTGTGCTTCTGGCTGTCAGTTTCATGTTTAGATGGAAACTGGCAGAAATATGAAGATCTTAGCTGAGGTTGGCAGATCTGGGTTACAGAGGACATCATGCGACCTCTCAAACAGTACGGACACAAGACCCAAAACTGGCTGATGGATAGGCCTGCTGGAACCACCTCAGCTGGTCCTGTGCTTCATGATAATGGCGTGTGTGTATCATTAGCATTAATCTATTCTGTTCCTATTGTCCACTCGGTACAACGACCACTCAGAAACTCCACTTAGGGATAAAAAGGGTAAGGAGAGCTTACTCTGTTCAGTAGAGATCTTGGTCCTTTCCTGAGGTTCTTTAGTGTGCCTTAACTTAGGACTAATTGTCCTCCTTAAAGTTTGCCTGTAATACATCTCTCAAATCCTGTGCCACCTATCCCTCTCAGAAGCCTCCACTCACTTTTGGGTGTGTCCTTTTGTACTGTGGTAAAACTTTTCCTCAGTTTGTTCTTTGTCTTAAAGTTTTTTTTTTTTTTGGTGGTGGTGGAAAGAACCTGGAAACACTGGGAAGAGGCCTTAGTCTGCTCTGTCTTGGAGAACCCACTCCTCAGCCTTCATTCGCAGGCAGCATTATGTATGTATTTAAATGTATATGTGGGTGGAAAAGATACTTAATTGCTGAGTGAAACATTTAATGTCTTTGTTTTTAATTTTTTTTAAAAAAAACTTTTTTTTTAAAGCAAAGTGTTTTTTTCTTTTACTTTAATTATTTTGTTTTGGTTTCATTTGTTGGGTTTTTCATTGTTTTAAGTTTTTTTTAAAGATTTATTTATTTTATGTATATGAGTGCCTTTATGCCAGAAGTAGGCATCAGATCTCACCATGTGGTTACTGGGAATTGAACTCAGGTTTTCCGGAAGAACAGCTAGTGTTCTTAACCTCTGAGCCGTTGCCCCTTAAAAAAAACTTTTTTCATTTTACATGCCAGTACCAGTTTCCACTCCCTCCTCTCCTCCTGCTCCCTCCACTTCCCCTCTCTTCCCACCCCCATCTGCTCCTGGGAGAGGGTAAGGCTTCCCATGGGGAGTCAACAAAGTCTAGCACATTGCTTTGAGGCAGGACCAAGGCCCTCCCCCACTGTATCTAAGCAGAGCATGGTATCCCTCCAAAGAGAATAGGTTCCAAAAAGCCAGTACAAGCAATAGAGATAAATCCTTGTCTCACTGCCAGTGGTTTCACAGTCTGCTCCAGCTATACAACTGTCACCCACATTCAGAGGAAACAATTTCAGACAGTAAAACCTATAAATAAGTATTCAAAATTTTGATTCAGTAAGAAGTATCTGAACATAGATATAATAACCCTGACAGAGAAGTGTGGTGTCTGCTGACTAAGCTAGGGGATAAATGGAATTGGATGTCTTATTCTCTGTTCCAAGAGGAGTACTCTATCTTTGTAATCTTTTTAAAATAATGTGCAAATTGTTTCCATTCCACAGAATGGGATTTAATGAATTACTTCTGTGTCTCCTCAGTCTTGCCATATGATCAGGGGACCATGTTGCATGGCCCAGGGGACACCGTTCTGTCTCTCCTTGTGCATAATCTGTCAACAGTGTGCAACAGTCCCAGAAACTAATGTGTATTTTCAGCGCACTGATAGGCAGTTGTGTATGAAAGATGTTAGCCTCTTATATAAACCAAAAATAAATTCTTCAGTGTTCACAAAGTGCACACAGTGTGTTCTGGAATCATGCTGCTGTTGCATTGTGAGGCCACATGGTTTTCTTTGTTTGTAGTTAAACACCAAATAATTTTGGAGAAAAACAGAATAAAGGGGTGGGGAGGAAAAGCATAAGCATCGTTCTGTTTGAGCACCCTGTTATTCCTTGGAAACTACAGCTCCCAGACTTCTCCTGGATTACCGTCACCTGTGTGCGCGCTGGCCGCGCCCAGGTGTGGGTCATTCCTCCCAGATAACCTTGCGCCCCCCGTTAAAAGCGAGCGTCCACGAGGTTTCGCTCTCTCTTGGCCTTTTCCTCCCCCTACCCTTGTGTGTCTCGCACGTCCCACCCCTTATTGTGTTCCCCTCTCCCCATTAAAGTGCACCCACGTGGGAGCCGCGTGTCCCGTCTCTTCCTTTTGCGTCTCGTCCATCCTGTGTTTGTCCACACACCCACGCCGCCGCCGTTTTTAAAGGAATAATACACCCCACTGCAGTTTGTTCCTTTGTATAAATATGGATCAAGTGTAAACTTGACAAACAGCATTGCGTTATATACTGCATAGATGGACAGGTGAGAAGATAGGACATCCGTCTCATGCCTCCCACAAGGTTCAGAGATTTAACAGTGGAAAGGGGGCAGAGAGAGTGTAAGAGCCTGAGGGGTGGGCATTGGTAGCAAAACAGACCTGTTGCACATGTGAACCCACAGACGCTGCGGCTTGTTGCACAAGATCAAGCTAGCCAGAAATCTGTACAGCCTGTGCAGGGGGCTTATGAAGTCGCACTTCTGGGAGAGGAGTTACCAATTGATGACTACCGGGGAGGAAAATCAGTTTTCCCAGGGATGTAGTCCTTGAGATGCTACCATACTTTGGTAGATGGTCCTATATCCATGCACATGCAGGTAACAACCAAGTGGATTTTGGCTTCAAAAAAACATTATTTTAATGTGTATGGGTGTTTGCTTACATCTAAGTCTGTGTACCATATGCACATAGTGTCTATGAAAGTCAGAAGAGTTGCAACCCTTGGGATTAGAGTTAGAACCACGTGAACACTGGGAGTCAAATCAGGTCCTCTGCAAGAGCAGCCAGTGCTCCTAACCACTGAGCCAGCTCTCCAGTCTCTGACTACTCAGTGGGTTTTAAAAGATGACCAAGTGACGTTGGGAAGCAAAAATGGTAGAAGGGATAAGGAACTTACTGGAGGGAAGCTAATGGGGAGTGGGTTTAATTAAAACACACATGCATGTGTGAAATTCTCAAAGAATAGGAAAAAAGGATGATCAAGAGAGTGCCCTCAAGGAGGGCAAAATGATGAAAAATATAATGTATATATGTACGTGATTTCCTTGAATTAAGCTGATCATTTTGCCAAATGTTTTTGTTGTTGTTTTACTTATTTTTAATTAGTGTGTAGATGGAGACTAGGAAGATGTGAAACATCTTGTGTTTGTTTACTGCTTGATGGCTGGGGTCCTTTTTGTGTGGAGCACGCTGTACTTTGAAAGTTCTTGGAAGTGATTTATACTTCACTGTGAGTATTCGTGTCTTACACAGATCACCCAAACTCACCTTTCCGGAGCATTTTCACACTGATCCACATCATGGTGTAAATCACCTCCCATGCCAGGTTGTAAAAGTTCAGACCAACGGTGTGTACCTGTATACAGCCTAACCTTTTCAGCTGGAGCACACTGAAGAGTTGGTTTAGATGAGGGGGAGTTTTCCAGGGTGAAGAAAGGCCACCGTCCGTATTTGAAGCCTGTGCCTTCTAGGACTTACTGCATTGGCTCCTCTATTGGGATAAACAAGTTTTCCCAAAAGCTCAGTGTCAAACAGTTATCTTTTGTTTCTTCAGACAGCTCCTGTAGCTCAGGAATGTAGACAGCAAGAAGTGAGCTGCCATGTCTGCTACCCTGTGTCAGCTCCACACTGTGGGTTGGAGCCGAGGTGCTCTCTCCCGGTTTGCCTTTCTGTTGCAGCAATAAAACATTGACCAAAAGCAGCCTGGGGAGGAAAGAGTTTGTTTTATCCTACAGTTTACTTTCTATCACGAGGGAAGCACAGACAGAAGGTCAAGGCAGGAAGGAAGCAGGGACCTCCGAGGGTCAGGCTGTTTACTGATTGGTTCAGCTGCCTTGCTTGTGCAGCCCAGGTGCACCTGCCCGGGAATGACACTGTCTCCAGTGGGGTCGGCCTTCCTGCATCAATCAGCAGTCAGAAAATGCCCCCCATCTACACACATCCACAGGCCAGTCTGATGACAGCCGTTCCTCAGATCAGTTTCTCTTGCTCCAGCTGACTCAAGTTAAAGCCTGCTAACCAGTCTTGGTGGAGTACCATCTGCAAACATAGTCCTCGTGACTGGGTGACCGGCAGGGTTAGCCAGGGCTTTTGGCAGGGCACGTTGGCTGGAACATCCACAGTGTGACCTGGCTTCCTTACAAAGCAGAGGCTGAGTTTGAAGGCCAGGCACACCGCAAGTGGCACACACTGCAGGAAGAGATACTGGACTTTGAAGAAAACAGCATCCTAAGCTTTTCAAGAGAAACTACTTATTTTGCATTATATTTTGGAATACCTGCGTTGACTGTATTATGATGGTTTGTTTCTTTAACTCATGCCACCCACCCTCCAACCCCCATGACTATTGATTGAAAGGAAGCAATGACGGATTCCCTTTGAGCGCTGCGTAAGGCTGGTTTCCTTTTAGTAATTTTGCTTCTTAAGACAAGTGTCTTCCTTTGGTGGTGTACTCTGTAATTGGCGGTGTGCTAATGCTTAATATTATATTTGGATTTCATGATAAACCCACAACCTGCAATTATATAAGTGCTTTAGAACAACTCTGTGGGTTTTTTTTTTTTTTTTAAAAGAAACTATCCTAGGAATTTCTGAAACCTTTTACTAATGTTAAC